GACGGTGACTTCCCCCTTAGTGGCCGCGTCGACACGCACAGTGGGCCCAAATCCCAGACGCGTTTTGAACTCGAGTCGCTAAACAGGATTCGAACCGATCGTATGACCCCACCAATGGATTTCCTCGTTCGAAGAGCAATCCATTGGTGGGGTCACACGATCGGTTCGAGACCTATGAAGCGACTCTGGAGCTCTAAAGGCGTCTTGAGGTTTGGCCGCCTCCGCCGGTCTTCTGGCCCACTGTGCGTCCGGACTACGTCCGACATCGTCGGACTACGTCGGACTACGTGGTCAAACAATCAGGGCGCCCAAAGACTGCCAAACCCAGAGCGTGTTGAACTTGTTTCCTAAAAAATTCGAATGTGCTCCGCACTGGATTTCCCGTTCGCCAGCTGCAATCCCCTTGGTTTGGTCCCGATCGGTTGGCCAGGCGATTGGGGTTTTTATTTCCGCCCCCGTGCCGGTCTTCGGCCTTGCGCCTGACTACCAATTCGGACTGTTTGTTTACGTTAAACCGCGAGACTGCAAAGGGGGGGGGGTGGGAAAAAGGCCCTTTCAAAAGGGGGGAACCTAGTGCAAGACATTTTTGCGCGCTTTTTGGGGGAGAGGCGTGTGTGGGGCCTGCCGCCCAAACTTTTGATTCCCCCGAGTCGTGGTGGGAGGAGGGAGGAAAAAATGAAAAGAAGTGGTAACCAGTTTACAGATTTAGCACATCTTTGGCAAAGAGAGGAAGATATGAACAAAATGTTCGAGCCGGGGCCAGTCCGATGACGGCGGCGCAAACAGAAGAAGACGGCCAGTTTCCGCTTTTTTCGCCCGGCAGGGATATGAACAAAGGCCTCCACCGGGCCGTCCTGTCTGATGTCCAGCACGGCGTCGGCTGTTCGGCACTGGGCGGGCACTCGCGGCCTCCGGGGGTCGGCGAGGGTCGCCTGTCGCCTGTCCAGCGGGGCCCCGGCCCTCCGGCACTCGGTCCCGGGGGCGGCGGCCGGCGGCGGGGCTCGGCGGTTCGCCCGTCGTTCGTCCGCTCCGGGCCCCCGGCTCGGTCGGCGGTGGCGCGGCGGGGCCCCCCTGCGGGCTCGGCGGTCCCGCCGTTCGCTCCCGTCGGGACTGGCTCGGTGGCCGGGCGGTGCCGGGCGGGGGCTGGATGCTGCCACCCTGGCGCCTGCCGCCCACCCACCGCCGCGGTCCCGCGCTGCCGGCCCTATGCGCCCGCCCTGGGGGCGGCGCCGACGACCCCCACGGCCCCGCGGCCCCGCCCGGCCCCGATGGCCCGGACGGCGACGGGAAAGGGCCCCGACGGCCCCGACGGCCCCGACGGCCCCGACGGCCCCGACGGCCCCGACGGCCCCGACGGCCCCCGACGGCCCCGACGGCCCCGACGGCCCCGACGGCCCCGACGGCCCCGACGGCCCGACGGCCCCGACGGCCCCGGACGGCCCCGACGGCCCCGACGGCCCCGACGGCCCCGACGGCCCCGACGGCCCCGACGGCCCCCACCACCGCCGCCAAGGAACTGGCCATCGTCGTTCCATTTTTGTCGTCGTGGGGGGCAGGCCGGGCAGGGGCAGCCCGGCTGGCCAGGGCGGCTGCTGCCCTCGCCGGACCGCCGCCCAGGCCCGGCCAGCCACGGTCCGACTTGCCTTAATGAGGGAGGAGGCGGCCAGGGTCAACGGCGTGGAAGCGTGGACGGGCACCCCGCGGGGTGCATTAATGCATTAGACTGTGCAAGTATTACGTCACCGCGGGGCGCTTGCGTCGCATTAGCCCGGTGCGCTAACTGCCGGCCAGTTACGCGAGGCTCCCATTTGTTTATGTAAAAGCGGGGGCCGCGATCAGTGTTATAGCGAAACGTTATGCAAAATGCTTGCAAAAAGTAAAGGGATGTATCTTGCCCTGTGTTCAGATACCGCCCGCCACACACTTGCGTGTGTTGGGCTGCTTTTTACCCCGCGGCAACACTGACCGCCCGATTTTCAATTCGCTCTCCGGGGAAACTCATGCAAATTTCGGGGCTCTCCCTCACAAAACCAAGGAAAGCGGTATAACAGAAGTTACACGCGTCTGTTCGGTCGAGAGCAGCGTTCGAAGTGGAGCGAACAAATCGCGGTCAAATTCCGCAGCCATGCACCAGCACAGCGTCCGGACACCTCTCTCTCTCTCTCTCTCTCTCTCTCTCTCTCTCTCTCTCTCTCTCTCTCTCTCTCTCTCTCTCTCTCTCTCTCTCTCTCTCGCACTCTTGGGTCGTCCCTCGGGAGTGCGAGAGAGACAGAGCGTGTGTAGCCGAGGCGTCAATTCCTGTCATATCGCAGTGTGGGTACGGGAGTTCCGGCCCCGGCCGAGTGTGGGGCAGCATAACTCCGGACTTTGGCGGTGGCTCTGGTTCCCCTGCTACACTGTGTATGCCACGCTGCACACGCAAACACCACACTGCCGACAGACGTGGCGAGCGTTCCCAAAGTATGTCACTGAGATGCGTCCAAAAGGCCGTCTAAAAACGGGCAAAACGTCGACTGGATTAACACGGCAACACTTCGTTACCATCGTGTCTGTCACCGCGGAGGTTGTGGCATCATCGGCTTCCCCTCGAGGGAAAAGAGGGGAGAGAGAGAGAGGGAGAGAGAGAGAGAGAGAGAGAGAGAGAGAGAGAGAGAGAGAGAGAGAGAGAAGGAGGGAGGAGAGGGAGGAGGGAGGGAGGGAGGGAGGGAGGGAGGGAGGGAGGAGGAGGAGGTGGCGTTGAAGTTGAAGCGACCGCGACGGCGTAGGGCGAAAAAGTTCCTCTCCGCCGTGCTGTGCCGCTGTGCCCCTTTTGACACGGTCATATATGTGTCGATCCTCGCGCCGTCGCGACCCGCCGCCTCTCGCCACAAAGCCTCTCTCTGAATATCATTACCCTCACACCCTGGCCGCCTGCTCGCCTCCGCCTGCTTGGCTCCGCCCCGCCCCGCCCCGCCCCGCCCCGCCCCGCCCCGCCCCGCTCCGCCCCGCCCCGCTCCGCCCCGCTCCGCCCCGCCCCGCCCCGCCCCGCCCCGCCCCGCCCCGCCCCGCTCCGCCCCGCCTCTTTCAAATCAGATCGAAAATGCTTTCCGTCCGCCGCGCCGCCTCAAACTTCGGCGCGCCGCATCTGGCCGCTCTGGCCGCCGTGGCGCCACGCTCTGCATCTGTGGGGCTCAGATGTTTTTTTTTTTTTTTTTTTTCCATCTGCTTCCCGCTTGGCGCGACGCATCTCCATGCAGTGTGCCGTGACGCGTTGACTGGTGCTGACGCGCAGTCGCGACGTGCCACGTAATTGGCCGGGCCTTCTGCGAAGTCGACGGGGACACCTTGCGGAAATGGGTTTTGTCGCGGTTCGTCGCGACGCGCAGTGGATTTGCCAGAAGACCGGCGCCGCCGGCCGGAACCCGAGACGCGTTTTGAGCACCGGAGTCGCGAAATGGGACTCGAACCGAACGTGTGACCCCACCAATGGATTGCTCTCCGAACGAGGAAGCCATTGGTGGGGTCACACGTTCGGTCCGAGTCCCATTCAGCGACTCTGGAGCTCAAAACGCGTCTCGAGTTTCGGCCGCCGGCGCCGGTCTTCTGGCAAATCCGCTGCGCGGCGCTGCAGCGCGCAGAGTCACCTGCTGGAGTCTCCTCGTCAGGCTGCGCGCTGCGCGGGCTGGGACTGTCGATGGTCCGCGCCATCAGCGACCCTGCCAGACTGGCGACGCCAAAGTTTGAGGCCAGAACCCTCGGCGCTGCGGCAGCATCCCGGCCGGGAGCGCCTGCCAACGACGGTGTAGGCAACACGGTGCGCAGCCGTGCGCCGCGGCCCGGTGGACTGCCTACCTCGCAGGGGCTACCGCAGGCACGCACAGTGGGCAGAAACCGGCGGAGGCGGCCAAAATTCGAGACGCGTTTTGAGCTCCCGAGTCACTAAGCAGGACTCGAACCGAACGTGTGACCCCACCAATGGATTCCTCGTCCATTGAGTGGGGTCACACGGTCGGTTCGAGTCCCATTTAGCGACTCTGGAGCTCAAAACGCGTCTCGAATTTTGGCCTCCTCCGCCGGTTTCTGGCCCACTGTGGCACGCTTGTTCTCGGCCAGGACGGCTGATGATTGATCTTGCTGCACTGGACTGTATTGAAGTTGATACATTGTATGCGCAGCCGGACATACAACAAAACCAATGCGGCTTTAAATGTGCCATATTTTCGCCTCGTTGTGGTTTGCCAAGTGCGATGCCGCCTCGTCAGCCGACTACAGCGTGTTCTTCTCGCTTCTCCACGCACAGACACACACGCTGCAATCAAGATGCGTAGCGAGCGTTCCGAAATTGTGTTGCAGTTTCTCGCCTTTGCGCGCCCTGGTGGCTGCTGCCCGCGCGTCCCCGCGTCCTCCCTCCTCCCTGGACCCCCTCCCCTCGCTATCTCATTTCGCTCCTCGCGACTGTCCCCTTATCCCTGCGCCATGACACACCTTTTCATACGCCGGTCCCCCGCCCCTCCGCCGCTCCCATTCCCTTCTATGACTCAAACTTTCGTTGTTGCGGGTCGCGGCCGTCGCCGCCGTGGGTTCGTCTCCCGCCGCCGCCGCCGCATTTTCCGTCCCCGTCGGTCTGCGGGGGGACGGCCGGGCCGGCCGGGCCGGCCTGTAGGCAGGCAGGGTCTTGGCGACGCCGCCGACGCCGCCGACGCCGCCGCCGACGTTGGCGCCCGGCTGGCAGCGCCCCCTCCCCTAACGGCAGGCGCCGGCGCGAGCGGCTCGGGGCTGCTCGGGGAGCGGCCGGGCGGCCGGGCCGGGCGGCCACCCCCACCACGGCCGCCGCGCCGAGCCGCCGGCGCCCTCTCAGTCGACGCGGGGACGTCGAGGGCGTCGAAGAGCGGCAGGACGGCGGCGAGTCCCCGCGGACCCTCTCGCGAGTCCTCGCGCGCGTCGCCGGCGACCGGCGCGGTGGTGGCGGCGGTGGCGTGGTGGCGGCGGTGGCGGTGGTGGCGGCGGCGAGGGCTGGCGCGGCGGCGCGGCGGCCTCCCTGCCTTTGGCTTCGACGTCCAGGTGAGCAGCGCTGCGGCGCGGCGGCACACTGTCCTGTCTCTCTCGCGCTGGCGGGGCGTCTCCTACACGTGCGAGCGAGACAGAGCGACGAGAACGACTCTCAGGTCCGAGCGAGGGGGGAACAGCTTTCCACATTCGTTGTACAAAATTTGACCACATTCCACATTCAGGAGGCAAAAACGCCTGTAAGTAGGCAACATGTGTGGCAAAAAAGCAAGAAATCTTGCACATTCTTGCACATTCACACAATCATTGTACACAAAATGTTACAGTGGGTCACCCCTCGGGTCCGAGGCGCAGCCTGTCTCCCTCACACACTGGTTGAATTAGCCCGCCGTTGGCAGCCCTGCGCGTCTTCTTGGCAGTTTAGCCGGGCTTGCGGTGGACAGCCTTGGGGCTGCCGGCGCGGGGGGACACGTAACAATTGAACGATAAAGAATAACCGGCAGTACCCATCTTAAACGGCGTTCGATGACATCGCTCTTGTTATTCATGAGACGGCCCGAACGTCTTCCGTGTTCTTGTCGAATGGCCGCGGCGCACAGTGGGTTTGCCAGAAGGCCGGTGGGGGCGGTCAAAATCCCGGGCGCGTTTTGAGCTCCAGAGTCGCTAAATGGGACTTGATGTGTGACCCCACCAATGGATTGCTCTCCGAACGAGGAATCCATTGGTGGGGTCGCACGTTCGGTTCGAGTCCTCCTTGGCGTCTCTGGGGCTCAAAACGCGTCTGGTGTTTTGGCGGCCTCCACCGGCCTTCTGGCAAATCCACTGTGTTGGCGCCGTTGGCGATGCAGGTAGGGGTGGGGGCAGCGGCACGGCGCGGCGAGGCGCTTAAAGTTGCACAGGCTGCAACACACGCACGGCCCGCTCGGCGTGTCGGCGGACCTGGCGGACCTGGCGGACCTGCCGGCCCAGACCCATTCCGCTAAAGAAGCGGTCGCCGCCTGCTCCATTCACCTGCACGGCCTCGAGCACCGCGACCACCGCGCAAAAAAAGGGTCATTCCGACAGCGTACGGTTGCAGTGCCATTGTACAGCATTTTTTACTGCTCGTGACACACCCAATGCCGTGATTTCGTTTATCGCCACGACATGTTGTGAAAAATTATTTCACTGGTAAATGGTAAAATAACTTTTAAATAAAAGGGCTTCTTTCCTGAGCCTCCTTTTGACTGATTCTGAAGAATTTTCAGTAACACTAAGGTTTTTCTTTCAATAATTAGTTTTTTTAGGGGGGGCTGTCACAAAATGTAACCAAAAGGCCGTAGTTTCGAAAAAAAGTTCTTAGTGATTGTGAGTGTATAATACGATTATTACAGACACAGACACACACACACACACACACACACACACACACACGCCACACACACACACACACACACACACACACACACACACACACACACACACACACAGAGCAGTCGCGCCGCTGTAAGTGCACTGCGGCTGTGTGCCACGCCGCCGAATATGTCCGCAGCGGAGGCCAACTGAGCCGTGTGCTTTATGTCGTGAATGTTTTCCCAACTTTATAGTGCCTTTCATGAGATGGCCCCTTGTTATGGGGCTGCAGGCGGGGCCGCGGCAGACAGCGAGGCAGACAGACAGCCAGGCGAGCCGAAGGCAAGCGGTGTCGAGACCAAGACAAAGTTTCACTTTAACCGCCAATATATATATGGCGGCCTTTATTTTGTTTTCTTTGTTCGTTTTTTTTTCGGATTTTTTTTTTCTTTGTTTGGCTCGCACCGCGCGATTGACAATGGCGTTTGATGGATGTCTTTAGAGGCCCCCCTGGAAGGCAGGGAGGACGTTTGGCAAAGGGGGGGGTTGACCTCGTGACGCAGGGGTCTAAAGGACCGGAAGGAAGGTAGAGTGAGGGAGGGGCGAGCCCCAAAAAAATCTCGCCAGGAGAATTTGTTTTACTATCAGTGGCACGAGTAATTTATTTCCTCTCTTAGGGGCCAGGGGGCCAACGAGCCTCACCACACTCCCCTTCGCAGATGAGTTGCCCTTGGGTTCTTCTTTTTTTTTCGGTGGGTGGCCGGTATGGTGCTCTCGCCCGGCCTGTCTGGTGTGCATGCCAAAAGCCTCGCTAGTTTGCAACGCGCAAAGAAAGAAAAATGTTTTTTTTTCTCCCTTATCGAATCACACTATTCGCCAGCGTATCCCACCCGAATCAAGTCGCGGGCGACAACTCTTCTGGCCTACTTTCCGCCACACACACACACACACACACACACACACACACACACACACACACACACACACACAGACACACACACACACACACACATTTGGGTCCCAGAGATGCTTCATCCCTGGAACTCATTCGTTACCTTCCCCTGACATTCCCAGCCAATTTCCATAACCACACGACTGGAGCGCCTCCGCGCCTCCGCCTTCCCAGAACCGCCGCGCAATTTTGGCGCATGTTTATTTCGACTTTTCTTTTCTGTCTTTAATTTTCATGGGTTTCTTTTATCATTATTCCTTTCTATTCTGCAACACACGTGGAAACTGAATTAAAATGAAATGCCTGGGTTGGTCCAGTTATATATTTTTGTGCAAACATGAGCCTTTTGATGCATGACCCACCTTCACACACATGCATATGTACTTGCTCACTCATCACCATGCGGTAGAGCGGCTCTGCCAACTGGAATCACCATGTCACAGTGGGCCAGAAGACCGGTGGAGGTGATCAAAATCCCCGACGCGTTTTGAGCTCCAGCGTCGCTCAATGGGACTGGAACCGAACGTTTATGGCCCCACCAATGGATTGCTCTCCGAACCAGGAATCCATTGGTGGGGTCACACCTTCGGTTCCAATCCTGTTTGGCGACTCTGGTGCTCAAAACGCGTCTAGTGTTTTAGCCGCCTCTACCGGTCTTCTGACCCACTGTGCAATGCATGTGCGCTGCGGCTGGACCATGGTACCATGGTACTGCCCTTCCTGTGCGGCCCGCTAAATTTGCGCCTTAATAACCTGGCTGTGGCGACGTGCACTGACCACGCTGATGGACCCTCCCTCCCACAGTGCAGTGCCATCAAGAGCGTCATCGTCCATCACGTGGGTCGTACAATACCATATTCATAAGCTGGAGGAACACGGAAGGAGACGCGTCGAAATAAGTCGGGAGGGGGGTGGGGTGCACTATCCCACATTTTGCACGAAATTTGAAAACATTCCCCATTCAGTTGGTGAAAACGCCTGTAAGTAAAGGCAGAATGTGTGGCGAATATGCGAGGAGTCTTTAACGTTCCAACACATTCCTATAATCATTGCACGCGAAATTTAACAGTGGGTCACCCCCTTCGAGATAAGTTGCGCCCTCCTCTGCGCTGGCTGCGGATGGGATGGAATGGAGCGAGAAATAACGGCATCTGTGTGGTACACTGTGGTACCGAGAAACGGCGCGGCGGGACAGCGAGCGCTCCACTTGAGTGATTTCCCCCTCCGGTCATAACCGCGGCCATCGTGGTTACACTGTTAAAAAAAAACGGCACACCGCCTGTTTGGCCCTCCCGAGCTTCCGCTTCGTTACACCCACATAATGTAGACCCCCCCCCCCAACTACCCCCTTGCCCTTTCCCTGTGATCCCTTCCGTCGATCCCTGATCCTGCATTCCCGGCCGGTGCCGCAAGCCAGGCGGGCAGCCAGGCAGCCAGGCAGCCAGGCAGCCAGGCAGCCAGGCAGGCGGGCAGCCAGGCATCCGCCGTGGCTGGCTTCCTTCCAAACTCCTCGCGGTGGTGGAAACGCGGACCTTGGACCGTCCCTTGACTTGCCGCGTACCTAACTCGATCACGTCATCTCAACTTCAGCATGCGACCTGGTGTGTCCTCCTTCCCTTCCCCCCTCCACCCCCCTGGCCCCTCCATCTCGCCCCCACTGTGATTGGTCGGCCTGTATTGGTTGGTGTGTGTGTGTGTGTGTGTTGGTGAGTGTGTGTGTGTGTGTGTGAGTGTGTGTGTGTGTGTGTGAGTGTGTGTGTTTGAGTGTGTGTGTGTGTGTGAGTGTGTGTGTGAGTTTGTGTGTGTGTGTGTGTGTGTTGGTGTGTGTGTGTGTGTGTGTGTGTGTGTGTGTGTGTGTGTGTGTGAGTGTGTGTGTGTGTCTGTTGGTGTGAGTGAGTGTGGGTGACGGTGCAGTCCTCGGCGTATGTGACATTGTCCGCGAGGGGGAGAAAAACGCAATATTGGATGGTCGCTTCGCCCCGCTCCGGCCCGCTCCGCTTGTCGAGTGTGTTACTGGTGGCGTGGCGGCGGGCCCCGGGACGGGCCGGGACAGGCCGGGCCGCCACAGGGCACTCCAGGGCCCCCGCGGCCTGTCCCGCCCCGCCCCGGCCCCGCCCCGTCCCTGCGACGTGACACCAACTTGACTCCGTTTTTTTTTTCGTGCGACAACGCTCGTGATTGGCACGACGGCGAGGAGCCTCAAACGCGCCTCGTTAAGAGGGGCGAGAATGCGCAGCCCCGCCATTTTCCCCCGACGTGTGCCTGTGTGGTCCTGTTGTGTGTTGTGTGGTTGTGTGCCGTTGTAAATGTGTGTGTGTTTCAATTGTGATGTTGATGTAAAGCAGTGTACTAGCGTACTCATGTACTCATGTGTACACCAGAACGCAGAGTGATTCACCCCTCGGGTCTAGACGGCAGGGAGAAGCCGTATTAACATGGAGAAGATGGGACGACTGCGTTGTACATACTGCGACTGACTGTGGCTGGTTGAAAAACACCACGTTTTTTTTTTTGCGACAATGATTCCTCTCGTCCTACTAACAATAAATAACTTTCAATTAATTTTCTTTTCTGCGAGTCTTTTAAACTTTACTTTTAAAGAAAGAAAAGACACTAACCTAGGGTGAAGAGATCCCACACTCTAAATGTTGTACAGTGAAGATTCTCCATATTATGGTGAAAATGTTCCATATTATGGTGGTGCAGCTGACTTCGTAACATACCATTGAAAATCCACTGTACCTTATAGATGTTTTGACGAATTTCGTTG